TGAAAAAATTCATGATACTCCAATATTTTACGAATATTCAAATAATTTTCAGAAAAAAAATATTTTTTTTAATATTAAAATATTAAAATAAAGGAATACAATTGTTTTTTTTTTTGAATTTTCAATATTTTGGAATATTCGAATATCCATTCAAAAAAAAAAAATTGGGATATCTGTATAAAATGAATATATTAATAAATTAATACATATATATATATTTTTTTCTAATTTTAATTAATAATTCAAATTAATATATTAATAAATTAATTTATCAATATACATGTAAATAATTATATATAAACTATATCATTGATTGATATAGATTATATCAATCATATTAATTTGGATTTATTTTATTTCCTTTTGCAAATATAGTATATTTATGGACTTGGATGTTTAATATATTATGAAATTTATATTTTTATTACTATAATACGAAAAAAGAAAAAAAAATAGTGTGTATATTTCATATATTTTGATTTTTATTAAAATTCGGATATGCATTTATTATCTAAATCATTTATATATACATATCTATATATACATATACATCATCAATATCATATCTATTATATATTGATAACTTATGGAAATAATATCACCATAATTAATTTTAATTTATGTAAAGTTTGACTTTCAATTATTAATTATTAATAAGTTATTTGAATTTGCATCAAATAAAATCAATCACCGGATTTGTTGTCAATCATGTCTATTTTTTATTTTATGAAATCAATTTACATTTATTTTAATTATGTCCAATTATGGTGAAATATATATATGTATACATGTTTTAGTATATATGCATTTATATATACATTAACTAATATAAACAATATATGATTACCTTAAAATCGTTTTATTTACTTATTTAGTCTGTGAAAATTAAGTATAAATACCCCCAACTCATTCATCTCTCTCTTCATCTACATATTTTGTTATAATCATGCTAAACTAAGGTCCTCATCTGAAACTCTTTTTTGTATTCCTTTTGTTTTGTAAATTCATAATGCAATTAGTCTTTACCGATGTGTTCGCTTGAAGCATTTGATTTGTCGTTGTATATTTATGATGTTATTCATTTATTATGTATGTGTACATATAACAATGTAACTTATGTTTGTTTTGTTTTTTTTT